GAGGCTCCAAAAGCTGAGTGGCAAAAGTTTGAAAATCACTCCTAAACAATATTTCTTCACAAATGAGATATTTCAAGGCCATCAAACCGAAATGGGTTTAAATCTTTTATATCTACTTTGACTAAATGTTTGACCTGTTTTATTGTAGATGTGTGGATTATTTTATTTATTATCAACTTCTAATGGGAATTTAACGTAAATTGTGACATTAGAAATATAATTACTGTGAAACAGTTTGATATCTACTTTCCTTTTTTAATTGTTGATCAAATATCTGAAGTTCTTTGCTTCAGTTTCATGTTTCCATCGATTATTCTTCCTTCCTCCCAGTTTAACTTTCCTTTCCACCATGACATGTTTGATCCTCTCTGCTCTCACCGTCCTCTGTGGTGTAATCTTGGGGATTGTGTGGTCTCTCGATGTGAGAGGTGATGGGTAGAGCAGGATGAGTGTGATAATCTGCCACACTGGATTACAGCCTAATCTCTAATCTCTTTGGCCCTCCTCTGTCAGGGGATGCCTACACCGTGCCAATTTTATTAATCTGAGCTCCCATGCATCAAGGGCTTAGCTCTGCCCATTTTCATTCCCCTGCTTTTATCAAGCATGTACAGCAATAAGAGTTAAAACAATAGCGTGTGATGACGCAACACTTCCAAGTGAAAGTCTGACCCCTGAGCCGTCCGTAGTGGGATTTAGCAGCCGAAGAGTGAGTTAATCCCTAAAATGTGAGGATTCATCAGGAATAGTTGCTTCAGGGATGTCCCAGGTAGACTAAAATGCAGAGCGCTGCAGTTTGGCTTTCTGTATAAATGCCGCACACGGATTTCAACTGTCTCCGATGTAATATCCATCAGAGTTAGACCAAGCATGAAGGTTGCTGTGCCCCATCTCATTTCATGACGGGAAAAACTCCCAATTAATGTCCCATTTCATGGGGTTAAGTTTGGGCTAAAGATGAGAGAAGGCAGCGCAGAGAGAAGCAGTTCCAGTCATGGCTGGATGGAAACTGGCACTGATTAACCAAATAACCACCGTTTCTGAAAAATCTGTTCATTTCTAGGCTGATGGCTCATTTTGGATTCAATCGTTCAATATTTGCACAGCGATTTGGAATAAGGACAGAATCCTAATGCAACACAAACTTACTGACATTTTACCAAATATTTCAATCTGATGGTATTTTAGCAACAACATAAAACACGTTTAAACATAAACTACGAATAGATAAGATTGATGAGGAAGTACTTCAACCTATATATGTATTCTAAATATCCGTCCATTTTCTGTCACATTCATCCCTGCTGGGGTGGCGAGGGCTGCTGGTGTCTATCTGCAGCTGTCAGTGGGTGAGAGGCGGGGTCCACCGTGGACAGGTCTGTCCATCGCAGG